AACATTGTATTTGTGTTATGAATGAGTTCCAACTAAATTTACATTAATTTTAAAGGAATAATGAAGAAATTTGGTTAAGAATTGAGTAAGATACAGAGGAAAGTGTGTGCTCACTGTATGAGACAGTGAGCTCAAGGTGTGGCAGGTGGGGAGGGCACAGTTGCCATATAGGGCACTCAGCATACTTATTTTATTTTATTTTATTTTGACTTAGAATTTTTTTTACTATTTAAGTCTAGTATTAAGTACAGTTAGGGAGAAAAGCTCAAAAGGTACCTAATTAGAGGGACTACAAGGGTCTTGTACACCCTCTAATTAGGCCCCTTACAGTATGTCCCTCAGGTGGTGATTTCGTTAATGAATTTTATAAAATATTTCAATGCATGTTATATTAGAATAACACACTCGGAACATGTAACACCAACTCAGGGCATTACAGCACCCCAAAGATGTTCATGGCTCATCAATCCCAATACTCCAACAAATTAAAAAAACGACTTAAACCCCATGACGAATTAAAAACATGTGAAGAGCATTTCCACATTTTCAAACAATAAAAAACGGACAAACGTAAAGACATGATGAATGTAGGCACGAGAGGGGTAAGAGTAAATTGGGATGACGAGAAGTCAATGGGATAAGGAGTAAAGAGAAAGGAAAGGGAGGGGAAACAGGTAATTATAGAGAAAGTGAAATAACGAAATGAGATTCATTTTCGTGAAAAGGCGTTAGTCGTAACAGGATCGAGAAATGCAAATTACGTAGCTGAGCAATGAAGAAAAGAAGAGGAAGAGTAAAGAAATAACCGTAAAAGCGATTACTATAGCTCGCGACGAAAGCAATTGTACAAGGGAGAGGAAAAGAGGGGTAATGGTATGAAGAAGTGCCGTTTTGTGTATATATATGCTATTTCACTTGCTAGTGGACAAAGCTGCCTGAGCAAGGAGTGCTTTCTCTTTCAGGACGGGTGGGTAACTGTTCATTAGGTGTGCGAGTGGTCGAAGTTCTTCTTGATCGAGGAGTGCGATGGTGACTTTAGGCTGTAGACATCAAAATGTAAGTCGTCTGAGATAAACCATAACGAGAAGAGAGGCAGCTTACCGCTCCTTTGATGCCGAATCCCTTTACTACTCGGAAACTGCAAGGAAGGAAATAGTCAGCACTGCTTACATTTATTCTCTGCTTCATATGCTTACAGTTTATCACCAAGTTGTTGCTTCTGCTTCGGAACGGGCATTTCTCGAAGCGAATCAACGAACTCATCCGTAGCCTTTATAATAAGTGGGTCCGCCTTGGACAGGCCCAGCGCTTCAGCCGTCGAGTTATCGCGCACAATCTCGATGATCTTCGCAGCTGGCAACTGTGCGAGCTTGTCGACTGAAGTAGGTAATGCGCTAAGAGTGCCCGTTACGGACTTGCTGGGTGGCGTCAAAGGCGCAGCAGGAGATGCCGCCGCCGATGGCGCACGAGATGACAAGGCCGGCGTCTGAGGCGAGTCCTCGAGAGCACTTGATGCGGTGGACTTCCTTGCTGGAGTCACTGGCGCAGTGACCGCGGATGGTTCTTCGACATCACCGTCATCACTATCAAGCACAAGCTTGGCATCCGCAACCTTCCCACGCAGAACTTCGACGTTGAACAGGCACATAGCGCGCTCGCGCTTGCTGAGACTCATAAGTAGCTCGGTGATCGCTGCCGCACGATCTGAGTCGGGTTCAATTCTCCCAACAGCTGCGCGAAGGCGTTCGCGCTCTGATGCTCCTCCTCCACCTGGAATTGCATTCGACGCTGGGGACGATGTACGCGGCGGCGTCGAGAGTGGTGAGGAGTGCGAAATGGGTGTTGACGGATGGTCGGGTGCGGATGCTGTAGCAGCCAAAACGTTTGGATCCAGCAATCGCGAATCTGCCGACTCTGCTGGAGAAGGGGACTTCCTAGATCGCTCTTTGGACTTATCGCGGGATTCAGGTGCGCTCTTTAATGATTTCTGAGCATTCTGGACGGCCGCAGAGAAACGAGACGAATCATGAATAGCATCGACGACTTCTGCAAGTGACAATCCGAGAAGAGCGTTGACGACTCCATCGACCTCGGATTCCGGGACTTCATTGAGCGACTTCACCCGTCGCTGCAGGTCTCCTGAGAGTACTTCCTTCCTTACCACAGATGACATCGCAGATAGTTCGTCATAGGACATAGCCATCTGGAGTTGTCCAGAAAGCGCAGCCTGCAAAACTTCTCTTTCAACAACTATATATTGGAGAAAAAGATATAATTGCATACGTTGTAGTAGCTGCCAGAACCACGACGTGCACGTTGTTCAGGACCAAGTCGCTCACTGTATCCCGATGCTGGACTTGCAAGACTTTGAAACCCTCCGTGAGGGCTTGGCCAACCATGACTATCGCCTCCCTCACTTGCGGTTGGACTTGTTGCGCCACTTCGGCTGCGAGGATGATTGTTATGCCCACCCGCAAAACGCGCTGCAAGCTTCTCTTGCCGAAGTTGTTTCGGCTCGTGGAGGCGTACAACAATTTGCTTCTGACCGAGTACGACGCCATTCATAGAATGCAGTGCTAAAGCGGCTTGGTCTGGTGTCTGGTAAGAAACGAAGCCGAAACCACGACTGCGCCCGCTCTCATCCCGCATCACACGCGCACTACAAACACGTATTAACAGGATGAAATATCAGAGTGACAAAAGTAAACTGTACCTAACAATCTGTCCAAACTGGGTAAAGTGTTGGAATAATGTCCCCGAGTCGATGGTCTCGTCGATATTCTACACAGGAAATGGGTCAGGCCGAGATACGTAGTCAGAGGAAAGTGTTATAAAATGCCGTAATGCATGACAGCCCGAAACGTGGGCAATGGGAGAGACATTGAAATCGTCTACACACCTTCACGAATAAATTGCATGGATCAATCAGTCCACTATGGCTACCAGCCCCAGGACCACTGAGCGGCGCGAACTGAACTTGCTGCCCGGGCCCATGAACAAATGGTCCAGACATCCGCCTCGGAGATGGCGAATGAGACGCTCCACGACCAGTATGTGGAGGGTATGGGACTCCGCTCGGAACAAATGGAGGAGCAACGGGACTAAATTCTCCAGGTCCTCCGGGAGCACGACGTGGGTGATATATTTGTACAGCAATATTCTGATTCTCGACTTCAGCGCAATGCATCTCTGCTTCTGCGACTTTTGCGTCTTCTTCGCGCCAATATTCGAGTACACCGGTATCTGTCCCGAACAGTGTCTGTGTACGGACGCTGGCAAGAGGTCCGAAGGGTCTAAAGAGATCGTATAATTGAGAATCTGTGTAACCAGGCGGGAGCTGCTTCACGATTCGGGGAGAAGCGGATGGAGTGGGAGTAGGAGCCTGCTGGTCAGGTGGAAAGGGCGAGAGCCGAATAGCTACGTTGGCAGCAGCGCCTGGAACTGGACGGCCTTGAAGCGTTGCAAGTGCCTTTTCAGCTATAAATGAAGAAGCGATTAATATACAGAATCAGTGGGACAGGCTATAGAGGAGTAGAGAACCACAAGAACTGGAATTTTGAGTAAACAGAAGTCAAGACTTGCGTGATGTACACGTAGGTTAAATTTCGAATCCGAGAATGAGGTCAGTGTGCGAACGAACGTAACACGCATGCGGTGCATCGCGAAGCTTGACAACGTGAAGTGTTTGGCAAGCCGCACGAGTGGCTACGCGGTCAGCATGCGGCTACATCGAGGAGCAATGCATCTGTCAAGCTCCTTACAGAGACCAGTAGGATGACAATGGACTTGAGAAGGAAATGCACCGTGGAATGCGAGCATAAACGCGTGCACAGAAGCCGTTTCCAACAGACGACGAAAATTGTACCATCAATCTCTTGGAGTGAAGGACACACCTTTATCCAATTCCCTGAACTCGATGGATCCAGAAAGCGGCCTATCAGAGCCATCTCTGACGATATGTGGACGGAACGGAACGCAAGATTCGAATGCCTGCGCGAGTGCGCTGTCGGAGACGTAAGAAGGAAGACCAGAGATGTAGAGCAGCGGTTCGTGCAGGAAAGGGTGAGGTTGCGGTGGTGCCGCCATGATTACGACGCAGAATGTGCGTACAGTCGCAAGGTATATAAAGCGAGCGAGATGAACGTGGACGACACGCTGGAGGACGCGTGCAACGATGAGCAGCAGGTCTCGCGATTGTCGTCGCTGCAGTCAAAAAGTTCCTCTGCTCAGCGCACAATTCATCCCACTTTGGTAGTATTATGTAATAAAATAATCAGTACTCTAAAGTTTATACCGCACAATTTCACAAGGGTAACTTGTACAAATGTAATATAAAGGACAGAACTTAGAACGACGTTCAACGATTGTTTCCGTTTCCACTCGTACGGATTATAGTCGAGACTAAAGAAAATTATTATAAGGACTATATGCTGAATGTTTACATCGAAATCATGAATAATATAAGCACTCCTCTATCCGGATTGATTTATGGGGGAAATTGTCAGAGTAAAACCAAGTTCCAACAAGCACCTCCCTATCGTTTCGCAATATACAAGCTCCTATACAGACAACTGTTAGTGTCGATTAAATTAAAAGATATGTTGCCGGGCTGTACCTTATACAGCTCCACCCTTTGCAAAAACTAGCTCGTAGTTATTGCCTGGCCAGTGCTCAATGCCAAGCAGCACAGTCCAACCACACAGCCAGTCAATACGCTTCATACCCCTTATCAGGTCAGTTGAGCCACGTAATTCCTTGCGGCAATAGTATGCTTGAGAAACCTGCTGCTGTGCCACTGTGCCTTTGCCAAGTTGATCCCATTCTTCACGAGGGACAAATTTGTCGAAGAACGAGTACACAGCCCACAGAATATCATCAGTTGTTAATGAGTTGTATTCTGATACCCTGCTGACTGCCTTGATTTCCCAATGTCTTGGAAGTGAAACAGGTAACTGCCCTGTCAGAGTTGACCCATGAAGAGAAAGAGTGACAGCAGTTGGTGCCAAATGTGTAATAGGTCCTGACTTGTAATCTGAACCACAGAGGGAAAAGTTATGATTTGTATTTCCTGGAATATAAGAAATAAAATAAAATTGAGGGCCTTTACTAAAGACTGATAAGAAGTCAGGACCTACTGAGATTCTCTCTGTTCTGCTGTAATGTACTAATTGACAGGGATGTAGTATGCTCTGATAGATAAATGTAGAAATTACTTCTTATAGGAGGATAGAAAATGTTGTATCTGACTATAAGGAAGCTGTTTCTAGTATCTGGTTGTTCTGACAGTCTGTGCAAGTGACTTTGCTGAACAGGGTCATAGCTAACAGTAACTGGCCTTTAATGTTTTACAGCTTACCAGGTAATGTCATAATAGTAATATATTGAGTGTACTGAATAATGTGAGAGGTTTTGATTGTGTTCACCTGGTTAAAGGAAAATGAAAAAAGATTGTACAATAGAAAAAAGAATGGGACAGACTACTATGTATATTGTACTCTAGCTTATTCTCTAAGAAAACAGGATTTACTACCTACTAAATAGTTGATTTACTAATCTGCTCTTAGAAGTGTTTAAAGATAGTATATACAACTTCTTGGCCTTAATCTTGATTGCCCTCCTTAACAGAATGTACAACTTCTTGACCTTGTTCTTCATTGTCCTCCTCAGGAGTAGACAACTCAACCTTAATAGGAGAATGTCTTCTCTACTAAAAATTCTGTAACATAGTAATAATGGATTCCATTTTAATACAAGCTGTAGGCTGGTGATTCTAGTATTGTTGACATAAACTCTAGAGGATATTGTTACACTCTGAATTCTGAGTCTTAGAAGGAGATAGAAGAGATAGAAGCTTATGTTTTATAATAGCTATTATAACCTATTATTCTCTACAGTTAGAGTAAGGACAGTACCTTGTGAATAGCTCTTACAGACTAGAGAATTTGAGCTGAGAGTATGTACAGTTAGTATTTCATATACATAAACAGTCATTCTAAATGTTTAGACATTAGTATTTGTAGAATATAATATTGTTTCTTCTGTTCAGACTAGAAGTTATAAGTTATATACTGTGTTGTTCCTTTTATACCTGAGCTAAGATTTGCTAGACTATAACTAGAAGTAACTATTCAAGCATAACCAAAATTATATATAAGTACAGTTCTAGTATTAGATACTATAATATTGTCTTATTATAGAGTTATAAACAATAAAAACAATTTATTCTGAATGATAGTAATATACTAACTTAATATTAGAGTAAACAATGTTCTTAGTGTAAAGATATACAAGCTCTTTAGTAGTTCCAATTATCTTTAATTTATTCAGAAGGAATAGGAGAAAAGACTATTAATTAGTTTACTAATTGTATCACATTGTAACTTGAATTACTAGTCATATATGTCTAAGCTAATCCTCTACCTATTTATTCTAACACAAGTAATAGATAGCCTGTTCTAGTATTAAAAGCATATCCTAACAAAGGAAGAATGTTTTAATACTTTATTTTTACCTACACATATATCTCCTTTTTAAAAAGCTGAAAGCTAAAATGATTAAGTGTTCAGAGAAAAGTAAAATGTCTAGGAAAACATACTTACTTTATATCCTCCTAAAGATAGAAACATAAGTACTTTATTACTACCTTTACCCTTCCTCTACTATTAAGTAAACATACTCCCTTTAAAATATTACTATATGTCCCACCTCTAATAACTCTTAACTCTTTAAATACAATGTGATTAGAAAGATTAAAATAAGATAGCTTAGTAAGAATCTCTAGAATAATATAAGTAGGCACAGTAGGACTTACTATAGACTCTTCATAATCAGAGTTGGAAGCAATTCTCTCTATTAGTTAGTAAGGTTGATATTGAGAGTAAAGATACATTATAATACTCTATACATGTGTATAAGTATGTTTTGAACAGTACTCACCTTAGTAAGATCAGACCTAGAGTCAAGACTATCTTAAAGCTTATATTATTAGATTTGTTTACATTAGTACTACCTATTACCTTAGGACTAAAACCAGGCTGTACTGTGTTAATATAGAAAGTAGTCTAATACAATTTGTTAAATACCTTACATTTATTTTTCTATATGTATACATTTCTTCAGAAGTAGTGTATAAAGAGTGACAGTAGTAAATATAACTTGTCTCTATTATAATGAGCTAGAGTTTAATTTACTTCTGTTAGCTATAAGACAACAGAATAAGAGTCAGATTAAAAGGAAACTTCAAAGTCAGATAGTTAAAAAGGGGAGTGTTTAAAAGTAGCTCTTAAACAACTTTACAGTTCTATTAGTAAAGTTTGGAACACTTCTAAAATCACATATGAGAGCTGTTTCAGAATATAATATGATAATAACATTCTTTATTAAAGTTGCTACCAGAAGGAATTAGTATACTGATTTAATGTTAGAGTGAACTATATTATTACTGTATAAATATGTAAGCCTTTAGTAACCCAGACATCTTAGAAACACAGTTAGAAAAGTTCCTAAAAAATATTAGTAAGCTAACCAATCTTATTATGTTACAAGTTGGATTTGTATTCACATATTTCCAAGCTGATCCATTTCTAACTCATACAGATATTAGTAGAGAATAACTAGTAACACAATCAAAGGTATAGCTTAGTAGAGACAGTATATTTGGATATTATAGTTTATACCAAACATAGATCTCCATTTCAAATAGCTAAACAGATTACTGTAATATTAGCTAGCTGTGGAGCACCAGAGGGTGCTAAAAGACAATACCATTTGTACATCCTCCTGTAAATAGAAGTGTAGTCACTTGATTGCTAGTTTGATCTTACCTCTTTCTTTGACATGATTTTGACCCATTATAATATTATTATGTACATCACCTCTGACAACTCTTGGTTCCCTGAAGATAACACATTCAGAGAGGTACAAATGAGTCAGCTCTGTAAGGATATGTGGAATAGTACAATGAAGCAGAGTAATTCCTGTTTCAGAATTTCCATGGTCAGAGTCAGGGTCATCCATGAGAGTTATCGTGGAGGAAGACAATAGGCTTCGAAATAGCACGCACGTCCGTTATTGCAACAATATGATAGCTTTCTTCACAGTAACTGAAATATTACTGCCTCACCCAATATTTTATTACAGTCTTACCTAATATAATTGAATCGTGCGTCGCTACAGCTTGCACTGCTATACTGCAACCTAAACCCCTTCTGAATTATACAGGTAGTTAGCGGTATAGTATAAAGATTTCTCCCAAGTAGTATTAGAGGAACATATACACGAATAACAAGGGACAAGAAACAAGCCAATCAAACCCGGGGAACAAGAATGAAGTTTCAAGAAAAAGATTGGAAGTTTACTTCCTCAGAGATCTTTATAATTCTTGAACGGGTCCTTCCGAAGCGCCTCAGCCTCACGGGTTGCGCCCAAGACACCAAGTCCAACAGGCTTTGGACGCATCACCGTCTCTGGAACGATCGACGACGTTGCTGGGCGTTGTTCAATATTCTGACATGAAATCGATGGCAAGGTCAGCTTATAATTTCATAACAATGCGAGAAAATGTACCTCATCTCTGTATGGAACGAACTTTGCCGTGGAACCCTGACTAGGTTTGTCGTTGGCTGGAAGTTCATCCTCTTCGGTCTTCGTAAGCGGCTCGGATTTACTTTCCGATAGCCCCTTTGACGCAAGTCGTTTGCTCCGCCGTGCGTCGGATCCCGCATCTGGATCTTTGAAGGGTACAAACTTAGCGGCGGTTTGCGAGACAGGCGACGTTACAGGCTCTGGATCTTTGAAAGGCACTATTTTGGCCTTTGAGCCACGAGTAGAGCTTTCAGGTTCTGGATCTTTGTACGGCACGAACTTAGCTACAGGGCCAGACGTCGTAGGGGAAGGGATAGATTCAGACTCTGCAGCCGTCGCTGGCATGACCTTGCATCGTGAACTGGACGCAACAGCATTCGAATGTTGCGGAGGATCTCTATACGGTACAAACTTCGGCGCAGCCCTCGCCCGCGCAGCAGCCTCCATCGTAGCAGCCTTTGCCGCGCCCTTCTGCTTCAGAACGGCACCTTGCATCTTCTCTGGAACCCGTCTATTTTCCTTGATACGCTCTGCTCGAGTTCCGAGCTCGGGCCAAGCGTTGCCTGGAGCTTTCTCGGATTTCCCTTCAGGGTCGACGTAGACTGGAATACGTCCGTTCGGACGGGCCCTGCCTTGAGAAGTACCAGGGGCTATGGATGATGAAGATGATGGGGCAGAGAATACGTCGAAGGCCGAGGAGGCCGAGGTTAAAGGTGTGGATGAGGCTGCAGAGGTTGACTTTGATTCAGCAAGAGGTCGCCGACCGGGAGCTGAAGGAGCTGAAGGAGTCGTGGTCGATGTTTCTTCATTCGTAGGCGAGTCTGTTTCTGGTAAAGGAGCTGCAACCATCATGCGCTTTTGGAAATCACGATGCCGTCTCTCAAGATGTTCGAGAGGCTCCGCCTTCCTTGCAATTCCAAGTAAATAAATTTCGTCTGCTTTTGGACGCCTGTATAATTTTGGCATGTCAGCAAATAGCATTTCACAATTGAACAGCTCTCTTACCTATTTATCTTCTCCAGTAGCGATGCATACTCCTCGTACAATTTCGCCCATTTTGTCCCGATGTCATTTGCCAGTAGGAACTCATATATGACTTCAGGGTGGTCGACGTAGCTTGCATACCGTATCCATAGATTTAAGTAGCGTGGATCTCCTTTGGCGTATTCCGAATGGCGCATTGCACGTGTTGCTTCTTCCAGTTGCTCTAGGATACCTGAAGCGGCAGATTGTCCGCGAGGGTAATGCTCGATTATCCATGTCACGAGCCTGACATATGCGTCTAATAGAATCGCCTCAGCCTCCTCCAGAGTGAACTCTTCATCCTCATCGCCTTCTTCTTCTTCATCTTCCTCATCCCTGTCGTCCACATCCTCACCGGCTCTAGAACCTTCATAAGCTTCTTTTTCGGCCTGGTCGTTCAAAGTCTTGAGCTTGTCAACACGAGCCTGGGCCTCACGAACGCGCTCTCGAAGTCTTTCCCTAGTAGCTTCAAGCTTTGCATTCCGTATGCCATGCGGAGTCTTGAGGACACTTGCAAGTGCTGTAACGCGCCGTCCGGAAGCAAGTGGCTGAATGTTCTCCTTTGCGGCTTCGAGGATATCACAGTCAATGATCACGTTCTGATTTTCCTCTTCGTCGTAGTCGTCTGACATTGTAGCTGTTGAGTATTCGAGAGGAGTAGTGCTTATGGCAATGGTCAGTGGTCAAAGAGGTCGAAAGTCAAAGAGGATCTCTGTCGCGTGCTGTTTAAACGTGATGCGCGGACTGAGCCCTCGGACGTCACATGACCGTAAGATTAATAAGCAGCAAGGTACCTGGATTATGTAAATATAAGTTGTTGAAATAGTAGTTACACAGGCACGAAACACATGGATTCTTGAATACTACGCATAAATATATAAAGTCGCTCCTTGGCACATATTCAATGTCGAACACCAATTCAATGACATTGCACCAATAAGAATGAATTGAGATGATGCGCGGCAATAGTATGTTTTACAGTTTATACATATTTTATCAGGAAAGCAAGGAGCACGAAACAGAGAATCAAAATAACAGCTGAGAAATGACAAGATATGTGACCGACACAAACGACTCTGACACAGCTCCTCCTTGCTTATGTACCAGCCACGAATGCAATTCAAATAGGTATCCGCGAAGCCAGAAGAGAAATATAATGTGGGAACTGCAAAAAATTAACCAATCCAAAGTGCTGCCACTCGGCCAGCCGCAGCGACAGAGTCTGTCCGTATTCATGCATTCCTTCCATCTTGTCTTGCCTGATAATTCACCCGTCTATTTCCTCGTGATTCATTTAACCCATCATAACATCATGTAATAGGCTGGGGGCGGAAAGACATGATCTCTTCATACAGAAGCTGCTTCAACTGTTCGCGCGAGATGTCATCCTTGTGGAGATCGAACTCGAAGAATTCGGGGTCGAGCGGCGGAGCTTCTGGTTCGTCGTCCGGATCATGGTATGCCTCGAGGTAAGGGTGCGCAAGCGCTTCTTCTACCGTAATGCGTTTTTTGGGATCAAAGGTCAAGGTTTTCGTTAGGAAATCAATCGCAAGTGGTGAAGCATTCGGGAACAGAGTAGCGAAGGGTCGTCGCTTGCGGAACGGAAGAGCCCGGATATAATCTCGCGATCGCCTGGTCGTGATCGCGTAGAACTCGTCGAGTGTCGGCGTCCCGAGAACATCAAGAATCAAGGTCAACTGGTGGTGGTAGTCACGTCCCGGGAATAGAGGTTTCCCGGAGAGCATCTCGGCTAAGATGCAACCAACAGACCAAATGTCGATGGCCTGTGCAACCGTGTGAGAATGAGAAGTTTGTAGATATCACAAATAGGTGTGCTGACCTTAGTATATTGTTTGAATGTCAGCATGATCTCTGGAGCTCGGTACCACCGCGTCGCCACATATTCCGTCATAAATCCAGTCTCGGTGCCACTTGGCTCGGCGGTCTTCACGGAGCGGGCTAGACCAAAATCGCAGACCTTCAGGTCGCAATTGGCATTTAGGAGTAGATTGGAAGGTTTCAAGTCACGATGGATCACGTCGGCCGAATGAAGTGCCTTGAGGGCTCGTAAAGTTTGGTAAATGAAATACTGTGCGTGATCATCAGAAAGATCCTGAGTTCGGATGACGCGGTGCATGTCTGTTTCCATAAGTTCTTGGATTACTGCGCATATAGTCAGCAATACGACTTCCTGAAAGAAGATAAAGCCACGGACAATAGACCTCTTTGAAGGCTTCGAATGAAGAGGGGCGGATAATATCAAGAATAGAGATGATCTGCACGATTGCCACATGAGGCGACTTGGACAATAAGAGAAATACAAGGGCAGAGGCGTACGTTTTCGCTAACGCCGGATTCACTGAGGAACTTGAGCAACTTCAGTTCCCGTAGTGTTCGGAGGCAGAACATTGAGTGATCAAAGGGCGCGATCTTCTTGATTGCGACTTTCCGGCCGCTTGGCCTGTGAACGGCTGAACACACAATTCCGTACGCGCCTTCGCCCACAACATCGAGAACTTGATACTGTGTGCCTATGTTGCTGTCAGTTTTCTTGATACAGCCACAGAAATCCCTTCAGACACTCACCAACGTTGAACCGGACCTTTCGCGGCGCAGGCTGACCCTGGGAGGCTGCATGTGCATGTTTTGACTTTTGTGCTGGATCAGGCATTACTATTAATTAATTCAAATGCAATCTCTCTTTGAGATGGCACGAGCAAACGACACGGAGGGACGGATACGACGAGGGGAAGAGGACGAGGGAAGGGAGAAAGGACAAGAGGTGGCACTCGAGAACAAGGCTCTCAGAAACGGTAGTTTTGAGGCGCGTGACCCGCGTGACGAGGGCGTGACAGACTGAGTCCAATTGTCAGTTGCAACTGAGGCCGTGAGACAACGTTCTACGCTCACATTCCATCCATTCCATCGCGATGAAACCATCCTGTTTGTATCCTGGCAACCGCGTCGACGCCAATTCCCCTTCTCCTGTAGCCTGAGAGCCGTCTGAAACTGTCTGTCTCCGCCGGTCTGTCTGTGTGAATGTCTATCAATGCTATCATGACCTGTCATCGCTTCAGGCCTCTCCACCTGTCGATTACATTGCTCTGCCCTGCCACTCTTTGCATCCAGCCACATTGGTCTTGTAACCGAGTCAAGTTGTAAGCTCATGTCCCAGAACAGTGGATACGATCGCCTTGTTCATCTCCTTGGTGATCAACATCCTGCTGCTCCCGATACCACCACTAACCGGTTCCGCGCCCCGCGTGCAACGAATAGCAGCTCGAAGCAATCAAATGGCAGCGGGAAAATTAACCTCTTTTCGTCCATTTTTGAATCAGGTCTTTACAACTCACAAATGAGGAGTGCAACGGTCATTTCTGCACCCTGTAGATTGCCTTTCCCCAAAATGCGGAATTACTAAACTTGTTATCGTCTTCTAACTTTAGCTGACTGGAGGCTCTCCATCTTTGATCCTCGTGAGCCCGTCGACTCCAATGAGAATGTCAACGTCCTCGGAACTGCCCGTATCTCATGATGACCTAAAGCCAATCACTCATCATAAAACTCTGACACGCTAAAATGTCCTTCAATTCCATGTTTTTGACTCTCTTCGCTTACAAGCAATCGCAATCACGCCTCAATCACAACTCCCACACTTTCTTATGATGAAATGATGCAAACAGCCTTCATTTTACACATACGCTACATTTCAAGGATCACAATGTGGTACTTACTCTGAAAAGCGCGGGCTGTGCCAAACGCATCAAAGATTCGATTGATGCGTTGCTTCACGACAACAACACAAACGACTTCCAGGTTCCGGTGTAACGTCAAAGAGACGCTGTAGCCGTAAAACTGAAGTCAACTGGGCTCGGTTGTGTACTTCGCTGATCTTCCGGCCCTGTTGACCGTGGTTAGACGACGGAAGCATGTCCAGCGTCTGTCGGACCGATCAACTGACTTGACCGACGTATTTTCGTACCTCGGTTGCGGACGTTTAGTCTTGTCCTCAGACGTGCCTTGACTGCTGTTCTCACTGGCAGCCCTCTCCGAACTCGAGCGTATTTCCGATCTCTCAGCTTCGCCTCCCATCTCAGTTGATCGCGCAGCACGAGTGTATAAAATCCCATCATACAAGCACTCATAACTTCCAACGCAACCCTGTGTACGCATACAGTCATGGTATTAATATAAAATTAATGTAAATAATGCACAGCTCCCCTTCATAAGCCTATCAATCCATTTTGATGGCAGTGCCTTCCTTGAGCACACCACACTCATACACATGCGAGCTGTGTCGAGTTTTATATGCCTTTCATGGTAAAGGCAACTTTAGATCTTTTATTTTTCTTATGTCTAACACCCGATCGTGAAAAATGCAGTACTACAACTACTAAGACTTTTTTTGTAATGATAAGACTTTGTTTTGATGTATTTGGATGTATGGATTAACAATTTGTAGAATAATAGCTTATTGTATTTTCTGGGGCAAGGAGAAGAGGAGGCAGTGAAGAACACATTGTATTAGTACAGTATTGTCCTCATACAGTCTAATTGCTTGAGTGCCCATCTTTCTTTGTTCCATCCAACATCTGTAGCATTATCATGAACCAGTCTTTCTTATTAACCATAAGCTGTTAGGCTATGAATTATTGGAGGGAGGGTGGGCAGGTATTACAGATCAGTCAAGTGAGCAAATAATTAGATTGTTTTGTTCAAATTCCTTAACAGAAAGGATCAATCTATATAGGCTCTGATTCAACACAAAATATTGACAAAGCACTTTCACTGTAGTATTATACCTTACTCTCAAGCATTAGTATTATCTTGTCTATTACTAAGTATGTTACTGCTTGAAAGGGTTGGGACAGGGTTGCAGACACACTCAACTTAACAATCAGCTTGAGTGTCCTTACATAAGTAAATAAATCTGTTATCAATTTATTATTGATTCACTCTTATCCAATCTAAAAATCAGTATGGTTCCTATGTTTATTATTAAGACAACACATCTTTTAATAGTTCTCTCTTATTATAAACATTACTATCCAGATCCTACTACAGGTCTTACTGTACATAATCAATTGTGTTAGGACACAAACATTTATTAGTATATATAGTGTAGACTAGGTGTCAAGCCAAGCTTGACATTACACCCTTTTGGTGAAGAGGTTCTATATATAGTCTACTATATATAGTAATCCCTTACACAATGTTAAGCTTAGAGTAGTCAGGGGTTTGATTCTAATGTAGGGTTGTCTGTAAGCAAAAGTATTAGACTGAGAATAAGCTTCCTAAAAGGGGGGGGAGTGAATTTCTCAGTTGCTTAGAATACTAGGGCCAGGACTCTATATTAGGATATCTCTCCCTACCTCTAAAGACTGTCAAGGTTAAGTTAGAAATAGTAACCCTTAGGGTCAAACTCTATATACTAGTTATATAAGAATACATAACTCTAGAGAGGAGAGTAATGTTAGGACACAAACATTTATCAGTATATATAGTGTGGACCAGGTGTCAAGCCAAGCTTGACATTACACCCTTTTAGTAAAGAGGTTCTATGTATAGTCTACTATATATGGTAATTCCTTACAAATTGGACAAACTAATGAATAATTCAGTGCAAAATGTGTCCAGCCTTACAGATGAAGCAGTAGCTGGTCAAAGCAGAACTATTGATGAACCAATTGCCTCAGCTACTACTCTCTGTTCTAATAGTGACAAAACAAAGTAGTCCTCTGTGTCAGAAGAAGGACTCAGCATTACCAAGCACATTGGCACAGAAGTGTTAGATTCTGCACAACACCAGGAAGCTAGAGCTTCTCCTCCATCTAGTAGTGCTGAACTGTACTGTACAGAAACTACAGAATCAGTAAAGGCTGGACAAGATTTTGGTACTAGTACCAGCTTCACCATGTATGACTTAACCATACAAAGCCACAGACAACCAAGATGCTCCACACCATGCAATACTTGCAGGAGGGCTCACTGTAGAGTATGTTCTTCTCTCCTTGCTCCAAACTAACAAGATGCTGACATATTGCATTCCTCTTTATTTCTTCAGTGTGAACGTCAGCAGATTATACCGCTCCCTCCTCGTGCTTAGTGTATGAGTCATGGACGGCCATGTGTTACTACAGTAAGTCCTTCCAACCTGACTCAAAGCCACTTGATTTTACAGCCATGTACTGTGCAACCTATGCTTTCAGACATAGAGATCAGGTTGAACCCAAAAGTCTATCCTGGATCACTCTGAGCCTTGGAGCAATGTTGACAAGTAGACAGGGGGCCAGAAGAAGCATTGTAGACCTTGGTTGGCTTGACATTTCTCGCGCTTGGTAATATGTACAGATTTCTGATGCATAAAATGAACCTGATAAAATTTTGATGGTTGTCACATAATGCTATTCTTGTCCGTTTGGAGCATAGAAATAAGAATTGATGGTACGATATGGTACAATGTATTCCCAATTAAAAATTGGCCTGAATAAAATAAGGAAGGTTACAAAAGGGTGCCGTATTTTTCAAGTCGTACATACCGCATCATGTAACATCGCCTTTCCTCTGTCTATTAAACCTCGGCAACGTTTCCTTAAGATACTCAATATGCTTCTTCCTCAAATCCGCCTCCTGTACCTTCCCTCGCCCACTCCAGATCCTTCTCTCCGCCTCAAGTCCAAAGAAAACCGTATAATCCTCAACACTCTCATCCTCAGGAAGCGCAACAAGACATCTAACACCAACAACACAATAACTCCCCAATCTCACCGTATGATGTACCCTCGCTTTCGTACAAATCGTATTTCCATCCCCAATTGAAGGACATTCTACGCGAGCACCGATTTCAATGAGGTTGTCGTCCCCGATTCGCATGGGTTCACGACGTCGGTTCACGATGACAGTGTTCTCTTCTATTATATTTGAGGAACCGATGTAGATTGGTCCGGCTATGGCAAAGATGGAGGCTTTGGGGTGGACAATTGTGTTTGCGCCGATTGTGATTTCGCCTTTGAGCTCGACGTCTTGGCAGACTATTGCTTTTGAGTGGATAGTGTATTTGTCTTTTCTATGGAATTTTGGATTTTTTTTGTGGGTCGGGGTGTGCGATGGGGATGAGGAGGGAATATTGGAACTTACATTGGTGGCATGGCTGGGTAAAGAAGACAACGTCAACGCTTCCGGTTTGAGCGCTATGTCTCTGTCGATCATTCGTTTCGTTCAAGCAGGAGGAACCACGTGATCTATTATTTGTCAGAGGACTCAGGATTTATAATTATAGCTTTTCCGTCAATGCGTTAGAGCACCACACACCAAGACAAAACCCACAAAGCAGCGTGTACAACCTAGGGAAACCATCAATATACCCACACAGCTTGCCAACAAACTGATAGGTCCGGCTGATGAACCTGATTTCACAAAGACACTTTTTTGTTTTTGTCAAGGTCTGCTGTCCACTCTCACCCACACCATCACCAAAACGTGCAGAGTCTGACAAGGCAATATAATTACATGTAGACTTTATAAGCAAATATAAGGATCCACAATATGTAAAAAATATATATCTTAGTAGTAAATTCTAATACATTTTTGTGTTTGATTTGGTAATACATATATACAGAAACATATGACAAATGTATATATGACCAGAATCAACAATACTATGTTATCTATCAACCTCAACTAATGGACAGTATTAGAAGGAGGTTATGAGAGAGGCTTAGAGGGATCACACAAAGAGGGGGGATAGTAGACTCAGCTTACTCTCTTACAGCTTGCTTTATTATCTATTAATTAGTTAGTCTATATATATACTATATAAGTATGTCTCAGATGTAAGATGTATGATAGAAGGTATTCCATTATTGTTTGTCATGGCTTGTAATATAGTTTATATCATCTGAGACATATTCTTGTGTAGTCTCATCTTAACACTCTTCTTTAAACTCTTACTAGGTCTAGTAGACTTGTAAGATGTTTACTTACAGTATGTATAAATAGTATAATTACTATAACTGTATTATATAATTGTTTGTTTGTGTAATGCATTTATAACTTGATGTAGTTAATAATAATATTATTAGTATTGTAGTAATGTACTGTCTGTTCTGTGTACTATCTGTTTCAAATGTTATCTACATTGTATTAAGTTTGTCTAATGTTATATTAATTAAGTATATTTAATTAGTTTGTTCATTTATAGTATACTGTTTAATAACAGTATTGTTATTATAATAGATTATTTGTAAATGTTATTAAATAATTTGTAAATACTTTAGAGACTTGTAGAATCTTGTTAGTATGTATAAGTATATGTATACACATATTTAAATTATAAATACAATTGCTTGTTTTGTTTTATTATTTGTTATTCAGTCATATTGTTTGTTATTAAGTTTGTTTGAGTACTCTAGTAATTTCCTTTTACTTTACTGTGAAACTAATGAATCATACTAGTAAAATGTATATTTAATATTATAATAATATCCTTCTTTAATTATTACTGTCTATGTTTGTCTATGTTTGTCTATGTGTTAAGTATTCAGTAATAGCTGATTTATGTCTTCAGATTAAAGCTTTGTATTAATTGTATATTGTAATATTAATAATAATATTTGTTTTACTAGATTACTTTATTCTAAGATTAATAAGGTTTTATACTAATATATATTTGTTGTATAAATGTTATGTCTAGCTGTAGACAGCTTACTATGTGTTTAGGTGTATTATATATATAATATATTATAAATGTATTATCTGTTTGTTCACTTTACATTATTGTTTATATTTATAAATTTGTTAATAGATTGTTTCTAACACATTCTAAGTAACTATACAATCTGTTACTTTGTTTCTTTAATAGCTAACATAGTTATCTGTTGTAAATTATTACTATCATACATTTATATTACTTATTATTAACAATGTTATTGTGAATTGTTACAATCATAGTATTGTGTATATATATGTGTATGTTATAACTATTGTTCTTTACTTTTTCTATTATAAAGAATAATGTATTATAACACAATCTGTATATAAGTAATATATTAGATTATGTTTACTATAATTGTCTTCTAGCATACTTTAGTTAATATAATACTATGTGTAATTGTAGTATTTGTTTAATGTTTTATTTGTTAATTGATTTGCTAGGTAGAATGTCTTATAAATATTAGTTTTGTTTATTTTATTTGAATCATTGTATAAGTATACCTTTTAGTATTTATCTAATATAATTCATAGTATTATAATACTGTTTATACTTGTATTAATTGTATAGTAAGGGCAAATTAATTGTTTGTACAAGAATCAATTTAATAGTTTTATTTAAATATATGTATATACTCTATACTTGTTTGTATAGTTATTATTTGTGTATTGTTCAGTTGTAGTTACAAATTATATTGTAATTATATTCATATTATTGTATAAATATATTATTTATTGTTAAGGTATGTGTTTATATATTTATTCTAGTCAAAGAAGAATAACTAGTCACCTTTATTAGAACTGTTAGTAATATTAGAAGTATTTGTATCTACTTAAGATAGTAATATAAGATAGTTGTAAGACTTAGAACACTAATTAAATACAAGTGTTTACTCTAACTAGTTAATAGTAGGGTTGAAAGCTTTAAACTATTTGAATCTAATAAAGATGTCTGTTTTTCTAAGGTTAATAACTCTAAACTTAATACTTTCCTTATAATTCTAAATAGTTATTTATAGTTAGACAAACTTAGTAATCTAACTATTCTAGTTTAGAGTTCTGTCTATATTGTATACTAGGATTAGAAGTAGAACATATTAAGTAAGAAGATAGTGTTTTTATACAAAGACCTTATTAATGTATAAACTAGTACATTTACTATCTACTTGAGTTATTGTTTAAATCTAAGAGGACTCTAAGAAGAGAGCTAAAAGGATAGAAACCTAGAGTTAGTGTTTAGAATGTTCTCTAATAAATTACTACTTGTTTTAAAAGGAGTGTACAGCTTGTACAGTCTTATTGTCTAAGAGAGTAAGTATATATACTAACATTTTCTTATTAACCTCTCTCTTTTAACAAGGATAGACTTATATTCTTAACTGTAAACTTAGTTAAGACTATTCTTACTTAATACTATAAACAAACTACTAAGTAGTAAATAGGACTAAGTAGTATTCTAAATGTTCTAAGTTCTTAGAACACAAAAGTAGTAAGTTAGATTGTATAGATTTAGACTCAGATAAAGTACAAAGAGAAGAATCAAAAGAATTAGAAGAAATAAGAGAACTATTTACTTTTGTTTTTAACTTTTTTCTTTTTAATAAATAATTTTGTTAATTTACTTTTTCTACTTTTTCTACTTTTTCTACTTTTCTTACTTTATTTACTTTTAATCCTATAGTGTTTATTAAATCAAAAGTAGTTATTAAAAAATCTGAGTTATAACTCTTTAGTACTATATTTACTGTTAAGTCTTTACAAAATTCTAGAGTATATAATTAAAGTTTAGAAGTTCTAAAGTAACTTCTAAATTTGTAAAAAAGGCTTCTTACTACAAATCCTACTTGTTACTTATTATTACTCTAATAATTTAACAAATATACTATTACTTTTATAAACAGTTCTTAATTTAGTACTCTGACTTTCTACAAGTAAAGTATACTCTTTACTTTTAGACTTCTCTAATGTTTATTAGAATAGATTAATTACAAATTATAAATAGATTAATTTAAAAGCTTAAAACTGTTAGAGCTAAATACATGTGTAAGTATTTTATACAGACTTAATATATTTAAGCTACAGTTTAGTTAAAGGAAATAGTACACATTTTCTAATCAGTATAAGTAATTAGTTCTAGTATTATTCTAAGAATCTTATTAACTAGTTTTAAGTAAAGAGCTTTTTTAAGTATTCTAATAAGAATGTTATTAAACCTAAGTACAAATCCTACCTTCTAGACTAGAATGTTAAACTTCTAAAAGAAGGTATTAATAGAATGTTTACTCTGTTACAAAGATACAAGCTTATTCTACATATTATACTTCTTATTCAGATTAATAAAGAAAGTACAGAGTTACTCTATAAATTCTGAATACAACTTATTGTTCTAAAGTCAGATTAGGCTTCTAATCTAATATTCTTTAATCTAGTTCTAAGTCTAGGTAGCTACATTACCTTCCTTTATAAAGGAGAGAACAAATAGAACACAATTAAGATCTAAGAATAGATTAGTTAAAGTAGTAGTTATATATAGTTTGACTTAGTGTTAGAAGTTCTTAAAGTACTAGTTATTAAAGTCTAAAAGGTAAGTTATATACACTTTCTTTCTAAAACAGGTTGTAACTTTTAAAACAATTAAAACAGGTTGTAAGAGAGTTAAGAGTATATAGTTAGTAAAGGTCTTTTAAATAAAGGTTTACACATATTAACTTAGGTCTACTTATAACTACTAATCTAGTAGAACAGTAAGAGTAATAGTTAGTGTAAGAGAGTTCATGTTTATACTATAAAAGAATTAGTACTAAACTAAAAAAGGTAATAAATAAAAGAAGGGTAGTAAAAGTTTAAAAGAGTTTAGAAAGTTTAAAATTTAAAAAATGTAAAAGGGTTAGAACAAAGAAAAGAGATTAATATAATAGTAGATACTAATGTTTAAAATGTAAGAGAGTTGTAAAGTAGTAATAGATAGTCTTAATCTAATGTTAGTAACAGTATAGAGAGGACCTAAAGACTTAGTAAGAGGACCTAGACTATAACTATTTTATACAACAGAAATATAGAATGTAAGTACTAGAACATAGTTAGAACTTGTAGAACAGACAGAAAGAGAGAGTGAGACAAGAGTAGAGTATATAGAGTAAGTTTAAAAGTATAAGACTATTTAGAGTAGATAAGATTAAGACTACAGAACTAGTCTAATCTTGTATACTTATATATACTAAACTATATAAGAGTACTTAGAGAGTATAAGTTACTAAGAATAATAAGCTATAAAGAATAAAAGAAAGGAAGGTCAAAGATAAAGGTACAAAGAATAAAGGGATAAACAAAGGGTAAGAGACTATGAATGAACAAAGAATAAAGGGGTAGTTAAAGAAACAGGATAATAAAGTAAGAAGGGATAGTAGTAAGAGTTAGTACACATATAGTTTATAAACAG